TTTCTCATTCCAAGGGAGACATTTTTTTTATCTTTTTAACAAGATCATTTTGCTTTGTCCCATTGGTAAACCTTGTTTTAAGGCAGAATATGCTCAATAAAAAAAAAAACATTTTGCCAAATTTGACCCATTTCTGACTTATTTCTCATCACTTATTGAAGTGTGTGTCCATAAACACTTATCCACATGAGAGTTGTATAAAGTCCAGTCCGTTCAGTGGGTCTCATGTTTAAATGGCCTGCAGTGTTGAAACAGGTGCCGCTGGATCCAACACTAACCACAAAAGAGCTCGACGTGCGACACCTGCTCTGTGTTTGGCTTCATTTGACAGGAAAGAAAAGGACCAGGAAATAATCAAACTAAATGTGGCTCAGAGATATTAACTGTCTCTGATCTCTGTATAAATCTAAGACAACGGTTAAAACGGTGGGAATTGTACAGGATATTACAAGCCAAACATAGAATATATATTCTTTGGATTAAGGACGAAACGTCGAGAAAACCTGCTAACTGAAGTACAGACGATGGATGAGCAACCTTCATGTGTCTTTCATAGAACAGAGAGAGAGAGAGTTAAATATTCTCTCTCGGTTTTAATTCTGATTAATTACATGAATGTCATTGTTAAACTCAATATTTTATCCATCCTTTATGTCGTATTTTTTATGTCCTTTATGGTTCCCGTTTCTGGTGGTACTTACAGTGGCCACAGCTAAAAGTAAAGTTGGTCAAACACATTAATGCCGTCTTTAATAAAACAAAGGACGGCATCAATGTTGATTTGCGTAAACACGTTAAAAAGTAATATTTTGGACAGCACTAATTTAAACATACTCTATCTATACCACGGAGCGATGGACCAGACGGAGCAACATTATCTATTAGCTGCAGTATTTTCAAAATGTAAACTGCAGCTCGAGTCCTGACTAGAACCAGGAAGTCCTCTCACATTAGTCCTGGTCTCAGGGCTCTGTTTGTTATAAGTCTCTCCAAAGCCTCGCACAGGGACTGGCCAGAATGAGGAGGCAGCGTTGAAGATGTATGCAGCTAGAATCTGTAACAGTCTTCCTAAAAATGTGAGACAGGTTTCTTCTCTAACAATGTTGATATATGATCTTATTATTTAAGATTATAATGCTTTATTTATAATTATAATGCTCTATCTTGTTTTGTTCTTTTGAGTTGCCTTGTGTATAAACTGTGCTATACAAATAAACTTGCCTTTAGCCTATTTGTTGATTTTTATTTTAACCGATTTTGAATGTACTTGTATTTAAGGCGACCTTGAGTGTCTAGAAAAGCACTTAAGAAATAAAATGTATTATTATTATCAATGTTAAAGAGAATTGCGGTTAACGTCTGCAGCTGTCTGCAAAGTCAAACTCCAACAGCAGCAGCTAAGGACCATACACACACGCACAGACACACGCACACACACGCACAGACACACGCACGCACGAACGCAGGCACGCACACGGGATCACGCTGGTGGTAAATCCCGCACTCTTGGCACAAAACGCGGCTATAAATCCTGAGCCAAAGTCATGTAAAAACCGAAGGGCCGCTACTGCGCATGCTCAGAGCCTGCAGCATCACGCAGAGCCATTCACTGCAGCGCGGCCAAAAAAATGCACAAGAAAACTACAAATAATGCAACTCAATGCGACGTCGTTTTGCGTCAATGTCCTCACGCGCACGACCGTAGTGTCCCGGTTCCAACGTGGGACGGTTCGCTTTGCATTGTTTGTGTTGAACAGGTGTAGAATATGAGTTAAATCCAATTCCATTCAATTCTATGTGTTTGTGTGCAGCCCTCAACCACAGCAGCAGTCGCCTCGGAGGACTCTACAAGGTTGTGGATTCGTCAGGAACAGATTAGAGAATCAATCAGTCCGAACACAGGGAATAGCGCATTAATAACAAACACATAGGAGCTTTTGGTCCAGGAACGGGCTGACCCCTGTCCAAATGTCCAGAAATGTCCCGGTATCATCCCTGTCCTTAGACCCTCCTGAGTCAAAGCAGAATATATACAGCAAGGATCAACCCACACTGGTTTAAATCTTGTGTTTTTGTTTGATTCTTTTATCTGTTGTTGGTGAATCGACAGCTTTGTAAAGTCCTCAGAGATAACAACTGTTGTGATTCAGGGCTATACGAAAATACATTTAATAGCAATTAGTTTTAAATGCATAGAAACAGTGCGTAATAATAACATTTGTGCGTAAAGGATTGGAATGGCACCAGTGGCAAAGTTAAAACAAAATTTAAACAATTTTGTTATAATAAAGTGAATTCTAGAGGCATTAAAAGCAGGTCCATCTATGCTTTTATGCAGGGGACTGGTGCAAGCTTAAAGACATCAAAGTGGATCTCAACATTATAGCCCAACCCTCTTTAATTGTATAGCACATTAAAACAAGTTTGCAAAAAAGATGAACAGTGACCAAAGTAACAGATGCAAAACATACAGGTCCGTGTGTATAAAATGACATTATGATAGATATAACATTAACAAACAAGACATGTGTTATTAGGATCGACCCTAGACTTGATCACGAATTAAAACATAACTTCAGACATCATTGTGAATTTCTGAACACGTCTAAAGTTGTAGCAGGACCAGCGCAGTGTCAAGACATAAATCTCTCCGTTATTGCCGTAAAACGGGACACACAGCAGCGGGTTTACCTGCTGTGGTCTGCGGCAGTGTGGAGGGAGCAGTGACGCCGAGCTCCAGGCGCATCTCCTCGGCTTCTCTGCGGGGCTGGAGTGGGTCCTGGTCCCGGTGGGTCTGGGGAGGTGCAGCGGGAGGAGGTGGTCCGCAGTGGAGCTCAGAGCGCACGGAGCAGCGGCCGGAGGCACATGCTCAGACTCAGGCTCAGGGTTAACTGTGTGAGTGCCAGGGAGGAGGGAGTTTAGTCCTGACTGCGCTCTCTCCGTCAGGACTAAACATGAGGAGGCAGCGTTTCGGATTCATGCAGCTGTAATCTGGAACGGTCTTCCTGAAAATGTGAGACAGGCTTCTTCACTGACAACGTTCAAATCAGTTTTGTTAAGCTGCGCGTACCACTGAGGGGTTTGTGATTGTTTATGAATGTGAACAGTCCCTGCTCTCTCTCAGTCTCTACTCTCACAGTCTCAACAAAAAGGTCCTGTCTGTGTAGGTTTCCTCCGGGTGCTCCTCTTTCTCCAACCACAAAATGTTTTACAATATGTCTGAATGAGTGAAGGTGCTTTGATTCTCCAGTTAGTTCGCATCATCACTTTGTGGAGAGAATGGAACAGTATCTGAACATTGTAAAGTGCTTTGAGTGACCTCGGTTCGTAAAAATGCACTACTATATAAATAAACATACTTACTGAAAGACTGGAGCAGACTTTAGAGCTCAAAGCACAGGCTCAAATGTTACCCCAGGTCAGTGCTTCTCAATTATTTTCTGCCAGGCCACACTTAGGTGGAAGAAAACATTTTGCGCCCTGACATTGGGTGGCTGAATGGATAGCACTCTCACTTCTCAGCAAATGATCCTGGATTCGAATCACAGTCGGAACAAGGCCTTTCTGAGTGGAATTTGCATGTTCTCCCCATGTCTGCGTAGGTTTCCTCCGGTTGCTCCGGTTTCCCCTACCTCTAAGAACATGCACAATAGGTATGAATGTAAATGAGAGAGTGAATGGATGGTGTTGATGGAGGCTTTGATGCGCCAGTGTGTTCGGCGACTCGCTTCTGTCATCACTGTGTGTGGAGAGAATGGAACAAAATCTGAACTCTGAACATTTGTAAAGCGCTTTGGGCGACCTTGGTCTGTAAAAATGCGCTGTATAAATAAACATTACTTACTTACTCCTTACGATTGGCTCATACAATTCACTCACTGTCCAAAAAGTCAACAAATTACTCACAGGGAAGTATGCAAAAAAGAACAACAAAAACAAGAAAGCCTGTTGTGGTTTGTTTTGTTTGATTTGTTCATATTTTACTTTTGTGCACAAACCAACAGGCATTGTTAATCCAAGGGAAAATGTAGGTTCCCCAGCTTTAAATGAGTGAGTTTTAGATGCGCCGCAGGAGGACACACTTCCTGAAGCTCCATCATCCAACTCTGTTTCTCTGTTGCGCCGGGGTCAGAACGTTGCGGCACCGGAGGATGTGGAATTCTGTTCGAGGATTTACAGCATAAAACAAGCGCACCCTTAAAACACCCAGATCCATGTGCAGCTACACTTTAAAAACCCCCTCGGTGATGTTATGGGGAATTTATTCAGTTGAAAATCGTGGCTATGACGCAATTAATTCCCAGTTATTGAATATTCCTAGAAATTGACCGGAAATCCTCCAGCCCTTTGCAACCCTAGCAAGGAGCCCTACAATTTTTAGACTGCTCTGACCCTGTGTTTGAGATTGTTGTGATTCAGAGCAACACAAATATAAATTGAATTGAATTTTACATGTGGCACAAAGGCGAGACAGCAGACACATGGAAAACCAATCCTCTTTTTTAATAGCAATATTGAAGCATAGATGCATTACTTGTGAAAAAGGTAGAAAAACAGCATTTCTTTCTCCAATAAGTTAAACCAAACCAAACAACAGACTCCGTCCAAAGACTTTTTTTTGTTTTTGTGTCAAACCAAAGTGCTTTTAACTTAACTCATGACAGAAATAAAATGGTCTTTTCCTGTTTTTTTTGTATGAAGTTAAAATAAATGATAATAAAACACATAGTTAGATGCAAGTGGCTTTTTTTGCAGTCCTTCCTGCTCCCAGAAAACGGGTTTTTCAAAGCAAGCGTTGATCATGAAACGTGTGCAGTCCCATCGTTCGACAATACGCAAAGTTATAGTAGAAAATTATAATAACATTAATAATTACAGCGACGGTAATAAGACATAAGATTAGTCCTGTACACAAGGGGGCGCTGTTTGGACCAGCGGAGCCTCAGCGGAAACCAGGACCAGAGGGTTTCCCTCTCTGTCAGCTCCAGGTCTCGGGTCTCTCACACGTCTGAGGAGGAAACAGGAGGAGAATGAGTCACAAGATCACTGCAAAACTACTATCACAGCAGATTTAGATGTAGATAAAGATAGATAGATTTAGACATAACAATAAATCTAAATCTATCTATAAATAGATAGATTTAGATACAACAATTTCTTGGTTGCTGGGGTAAGATTATGGAATGCATTAAAGGACACATTAAAATGTTCTCAAACAATAGATACCTTTAAAAATATGTTTAAGGAGATGCAGATGGAGAAATATAAAAAAACATAACTTGTATGTTGAAAATTGCTATAATGATTGATTTTTGTAATACATGAGTGTCACAAATTTGTTGAACGGATCACCCACCGATTTGGTCATCGGTTTTTTGTTATTGTTGTAACTATTACAAAGGGGCATGGACAATAAGACAATGTCTTCATCATGCTCCTTTTCACCATGTACTGTTTATATTAATGTATGATCTTGTAAAGAAAAGACATGAACATGGATGAATAAATAAATAAATGAAAAAAAAAAATACATAAAGATGGATGGATGGACGGACGGATACACACATAAATACACCATTCTAAAAGTGAATAACAAAGAAGTCTGGGTTTTTCTGTTTAGATTGCTGCTCATCCATAAAGGAAGTCCTGATTGCTAAGCTTATATATGTTGTTCTTTTAAACTGTTCAATGGCCAGTCAAAAAAATAAAAAAAATAAATTAAAAAACGGTCTCGTCATCAGCCTCAGAAAAACGTCAATCTCTAGATTTCTTCATGAATAATAGAACATTTATTTTAAGTTGTGATTCCCTGCTACTGCTATATATCATCTTCGTGTTGTACAGTTACCCCAGTATAGATGCATTTAAGAACGTACTTTGTGTAAAGCCGTAGAGGGGGTGTGCTGGTACCTTTGCAGTAGGGTTCAGTCGAGTTCATGAACCTCGTCCTGAAGCGTCTGACGTTTGGCCACGATGTCCCACTGCGGAGCCAGAACTTTGGATTTACCTGAAACAGCAGAGAGGAGAGGGTGAGGAAGGAGGGGTGAGGGAGGCTTTTGGGGGTGAGCAGGTCACAGAGCAGGGCAACTGGAAAAGGGGGAGTGACTAAAACAGGAGTTAGGAGAGGAAAGACACTCCAAGATCTGTATCCGCCCCAGCACTTTGGACGTATGCACCTTGTTTTTTGTGTACAGTCAGTCCTGGGTCTACAGCCTCAGTCCTGGGTCTACAGCCTCAGTCCGGGGTCTACAGCCTCAGTCCTGGATCTACAGCCTCAGTCCTGGATCTACAGCCTCAGTCCTGGATCTACAGCCTCAGTCCTGGGTCTACAGCCTCAGTCCTGGGTCTGCATTCTCAGTCCTGGATCTATATCCTCAGTCCTAGATCTACAGCCTCCTTGAGGTTTCTCACTTTTTCCCACTGGGTTTTTGAGTTGCTCCTGTCTAATGACAGTCTAATGAGGGTCTAATGACAGTGATGATCCAGGACATTTCTGGACATTTCTGGACATTTCTGGACAGTGTTCATCCCGCTCCCTATGAACCAATGTCTCCTGTGTGTTTGTCATTATTGCTTTTCCTATGTTTGAACTGTTTGATTTGTTTGATTCTCTGATCTATTGTTGGTGAATCAACAACTTTGTAATGTCCTCCACGACAACAGCTGTTATGATTTATGGCTCTCCACAAAAACATAGTATTTAATAAATTGAAAAACTGGAATGTTGATTTATATCCTGGAACTTATTGGAAAGGGACATTAAAATGGGACAGTGAATATCCTTCTGGTGATGATATTGCGCAGCCGCTGTCCTGATGCTGAGAGGGTTTTGTGTGTTTGTGTCCTAAAGCACCGTGAGCCTCAGTAAAGTTGATCTTCCGCCCTCTAGTGGCGAGAAGAGAGAAACATGCATCTTTTGTATCAAATGTATCAACAAACACACAGTCGTCTGTCCTTCTGTACCACAGGTTTTTCAGACAGAAATATTGAAATATTAGTTTGAATCTCGTGCTTAGATTTTTCCCTGTGTTCCTAACTTGTAACCTTTTTTGAAATCTATTTAAAAGAACTCTAAACTGTAGATATGAGCTCTGATATCCCTGCTGCCTTTGAACTATGCAACACAAACATCTCCAGAGCAGGGTTAAAGAGGCTTTAGAGATTTTATACTTAATTCTTTATTATGCAAGAGATTTTAAACATGCTTTAAAAACATTTTGAATGAAAGCTGGGGTACCTAACTTTATTTCATAAATAATATATTTTTGTCACAATAGAAATATTCTTGTAGAAGTACAATGTCTAGACATTTTCAGAAGACAACACGCCATCTTTATCAGAATCAAAAACATGTCATTTTTAAATACTTCAGATCCTCCTTTTTCACCGTTTTGTTTGCAATCTGATCTAAAGATAGAAGCCAAAGCTACTAGAGATATATATATATATATATATATATATATATATACACACATGTGTATAGGGGCGAGGAACTATAGTGACATGTGGTCTCTGTGGTTAAAAAGTTACGTACAGCAGCTTTAACTAAACTGGAAAGACTCTCCATTAATCAACAGGAAACCAGGAATTCCACGCTGCCTCGGACAACCCCGGTCCGTTACCAAGACAACGCAGGGTCCAATCACATCAACCACAGGGGAACAAACCGAAACTGGGACAAAACCCTAAAAATAAATAAAAAATCGCCGTTCGGGAAAAGCAGTCCAGGAAAACTGAGCCTCAAAGACCAGGGAGACAGGGAACGGTGCTTCTCATGCCTCTGTATCAAAAAGAGTTTCAGTGGCGCCAATTACCAAAGACTGCACTGATAAAGCTCGTTAACCTGACTTTTTTGTTTTAAATATAATCCATGTTGTTTGTCCCCGCAGAACAAACCACTGTACTGGGACGAAACAGCCCTGTGAGTCACTTTTGGACCGACAGCTATTTAGTCTTATTTCAAGAACTGTTGCTTTATATTCTCGTTCCAAAAGAGACATTTCTTATATCTTTCTAAAACAAGATCCTTTTGCTTTTTCCAATTGTAAATTCTTGTTTTAAGTCAGTCAGAATGTGCTGAAATTAATATTCATTTTGCTAAATTGGAATATTTTTTTTACTTATTTTCTATTTTTTTAACAAAGTAAAAGTGTGTCTGCAGTCACCGCTGCGTGTAGAGATCATAGATCATTGTTTAAGACGAGAGTGAAGATTGAAAAGTGACTGTGTCTGACCGTCCAGGCCGTTGTGCTGTTCGTAGGAGCGTTTCCCAAGGATGGTGGGGGAGCCATGGTTGAGGATGCTGGGGGAGCCGTGGTTGAGGATAGGGGGGGCCTTGATGGGGGTCAGACTCCCAGTGGAGATACAGGCAGAACGTGGGGGCTCTCGGACCGGGCGCGGGTGTGATTCTGAGGACCAGAGGAGAGAATGTAAAACAGTGTATGTGCGTGTGCATGTGTGTGTGTGTCCGTAAACCCGCACCTAAATATCGAACCACAGATTCTAGTGGTTTGCGTTCCACAGGTTTCAATGACGGCTTTTTTAGCTTTTCTGGCAACCGAAGCGCACCTGTGGACAGAGGAAATATATATAACAAATAAGTATATTCAAAAAACCTGATCTCAGGTCTCTGTCCTGGTCTCAGGTCTCAGGTCCTGATCTCAGGTATCTGTCCTAAAGTCCACTCACAATAGTCCTGGTCTCAGGTCTCTGTCCTGATCTCAGGTATCTGTCCTAAAGTCCTCTCACAATAGTCCTGGCCTCAGGTCTCTGTCCTGATCTCAGGTATCTGTCCTAAAGTCCTCTCACAATAGTCCTGGTCTCAGGTCTCTGTCCTGATCTCAGGTATCTGTCCTAAAGTCCTCTCACAATAGTCCTGGTCTCAGGTCTCTGTCCTGATCTCAGGTATCTGTCCTAAAGTCCTCTCACAATAGTCCTGGTCTCAGGTCTCTGTTTCACTCACATTCGGCCTTGATGCTGGCGGAGTTGACGGGGAAGTAGGGGTGGCGAGCGAGGAGGCGTGGTCTGATCAAGTCCTGGCAGAGTCGGCGAGCAGTGCGGGTCACAGCGGTCGTCTGAAGGTAGAACGCCTGACGGGTTTTAACTGCAAACTTTGGACTTCCACTGTGTCTGAGCGGGAGGCCATGGGGGCTCTGAGGAGAGAGGGGGAGGAGAGAAAAGAAAGGAGAGAGGGAAAAGGAATAAGGGGAGAGAGGCAAGAGAGAGAGGGAAGAGGAGAGAGAGAGGGCGAGAGAGGAGAGCGGAGAGAGGGAAGTGAGGAGAGAGACGGGAGTGAGGGGAAAGAGAGGAAATAGAGGAGAGAGAAGAGAGGAGAGGAGGCTTCATGAGACGGCTCTGAACGTTGGACAGATGTCAACTTAATGAAATAATATCCACGACTTTTATCGGTTCAAATGACCTCACTGTCTGGAAAACAAGACTCAAAATGCTTCTTTCGGCTCCGGCTGAAACTCTGATATAAAGGAAACTCTTTTCAGAATGGTTTTGTTTTACCCTCTCTTTTTATGTCACTAATGATGTCCATCTATTCTTCATACCTGTCTATTATGTGATACATAGAATATAAGAGCTCAAACTGTGACTTTGGGTTGTTTATTCCCCATCTTTATGAGTCTAAATGAACATATGTTGTGTTTGTCCCATCCTCAGCTCAGTACCGTGGAGGCCCGGTTGGGCCCGGGTCGCTCGCCCTCCAGCCTCGTGGGCATCTTCAGACCTCCGTACTTCTTCCAGTAGGTCCAGCAGGAGGCGCACAGGCGACACTGCATGTTAGGAGGACCCCACGAGTACCACTGGAACGAACTGCTGGCTGCAAAACAACAAACAACACTGCATCAGAAACATCAGGATCAAAGGGACGCTCTAAACTTGAGTACCTATTATAAGCATACTTATAACCCAACCTAAAAGGTAAACTCCAGTTACAGGCTCTGAAGAACACAGTGTGAGAGTGAATAGTAAAAACATAAATGTTCCGTACTGTAGCAGCTCTCACAGGCCCGTCCCAGAGCGGGGGTCTGCGCAGCAGCGGCCGGAGCTCCTGTAGCTGCTGCGGCTGCTGCGGCGCCTGCTCCATTCACCAGCGGCTTCACACTGTTACTCAGCTGGTTTGGGTTTGGCTTGTTACTGCAAAGGATATACTATGTTAGAACTGTAATAAGCTAACTTTATAGGCTAAAGATGCACATATATATTTGAAATGTCACAGGCTAACTGTGTAAACTAGCTGTAAAAGACATAATAATAATAATAGTAGTAATGCATGAAGGTGCTCCGCTCTGCAAAGAGGACTGTGGGCTGTGAGCTTCCTGTTCTGGAGGTTCTTTATAAATTCAGACTTTTAAACAGAGCTCTTAGGATTGTCAATGACTCTTCTTGCCATCCTGGAAAGGCCTTGTTCCAGCTTCTTCCCTCTGGCAGAAGATATTGTTCTCTGAGATGCAGGACATCTCGTTATGATAAAAGCTTTTTTCCACAAGCTGTTATCAGTGTGAACAGAGCACTTTAATGTTCTTGCACTTGTATAGAAACTGTTTCAGTCGATCGATTTCACAGTGACAATTGTTTATTGTTTTATTTGTTTTATTTCTGTACTTTTAATGTTGTTTTATGTCTGTACTTGTCTTGTGCACACTTTTGCTAATGTATTCCAATGTGGTTTTACTGCAAATGGCAAATAAAATGAATCAACCTGAATCAGTTTTATACAGTGCTTTTTTGAACACACAACATTATTTTTTCACTCTGAACACGGTGGTGAAAAACTACTACTGTAGCCACAGCTGTCCTGTGAGTAAATAAAATAAATAATGTGGGTGAAGTGTCTTGCCGAAGGACACAACCACAGTTTGGCACTTTACAGCCTCAGCTGCCCCACTGTGGCACCTGGTGTTCCCTGTGACAGTCTGCACAGCTTCAGAGGACTGACAGGATCTGGCTTTTGAATGCATGTATTCATATATGTTAGAGGAGAAAAAGGCTATTTTGATGAATTTCCTTTCATCAAATGTCCTCTTTTATATCTATTTATGATTATTTTCTATATATTTATTCATGCTTTATGTTTAAAATCATAAGCAACAACCAGATAATTATTAAAACAAAGATCTCACAATTGAAGCTGGGGAACATAGCTCAACATCGGACTAAAAATCAGGAGGCAGTGTTTCAGATTTATGCAGCTAAAATCTGGAACTGTCTTCTTGAAAATGTGAGACAGGCTTCTTCTATGAAAATGTTCAAATCCAGGTACTCACTAGTTAGGGATGTAGACCTGCTTCAGTTTGCTCTCTGCTTCTGCTGCTTTTAACCGTTTCTGATACAAAGAAAACATTACATTATTATTATTACACTATTAGATCATTACACAGAGAGGATCACAGACATCAGGACACAGACCACAGTAATACAGTCGGTATAACCTGAATCTGAAATCACATTATTGTTAAGTTTCAGCAGCAGTCAACTGTTCTGATGGCATAATTCATTCACATATCCCCACAGACCAAACCCACCCCTCAATCCCCCACAGAGCTGTATTTACAAAGAAGCCAGTAAACTTTAAATACTTCCATGTGATTGTGATGTTATTTACCTGTTGTACGTATCTGTCTGTCGTCTTCCACATGTAATAATACTCAATAATACTGGTGAGGGACTTCCATGGGAGCTGAGGAAGAGAGAAGAACAACACATTAGACCCAACAATCTCATGCATGGCTTAGAATAAATAAATAAATAGATAAATACACATAGAACCAATGCAGTTTTCTTCCCAGATGCTAAAGGTTAGAGGTTAGAGGGTAAAACCAACAGAGACATAAACGTTTATAAAGACAATAAGACTCAAACTAAGAATGTAGCTGCAGTGACAGTGACTGTCCACCAGGGGGCAGAGTGATGCTCAGTGTGGTCTGCACAAAGGAACCTCTGCCTCATTATTAGAAATGTATTTTACAATTTCAGGAATTTGGCCCAAAAATTCTGATTGAACCAATCAGATACTTTGAAGGAAAAACACAAAAAAGCTGAAATTAATGAAAGTAAATACTTTTGGCAACAATTTCAGATCTCTTGTATACATTCTCTTGTGAAGGTGATGTCTGCAAATTCATTTATAATTATTATTGACCAGAATGTGTCTCTGTATGTGTGTGTCTAACTATGTGTGTGTGTGCGTGTCTATCTAAACATAGCAGCTACTTATATTGTATATGTTGTGTGCTCCTGTTCTGTCTGTGAACTGCAGCATTGACATTTCCCCACTGTGGGACAAATAAAAGATCTCTTAATATATCTTTCTCTGCAGGTGTGTGTGTCTATGTATATGTGTGTGTATGTCTCTGGATGTGTATGTTTGTGTCTATGTGTGTGTCGGTCTCCAGACGCTTCTTTGGGTGCGTCTCTGTCTGTCTGGATGTGCGCATGTCCCGGTGCATCTGTGTGGGTATGTGTGTGTGCGCCAGTTTGTGTGCATGTATCCGTGTGTGTTTTATGACTCACAAAGTCCAGCTGTATGTGTGTCTGTGTGTGTGTGTGTGTATCGCTGTGTCTGTGTATGTGTGTGACTCACAAAGTCTTGTTGTATGTCAGTGAAGTCTTTGCCGTATTTCTCGAGCGCCTCCTCGAACAGATTGGCCTCAGAGGAGCTCCACTCCTCCATCTCGTCTCTGCACAGCACTGGTCCTCCCTGCGGCACCAACGACGCAATGGCCCTGGTCATGTCATAGCCCGCGGCGTGGAGGCTGTCCATGGCGTGGAACTGAGGACGGAACACGGTGAGACCCTGACCACCAGAACGCAGGCTACACATAGTCCTTAACACATGGTTTAAGCAGGAACGGAGACCAACAGTGGACTCATCGACCACAGCAGTCATAGTATGTGTCTGTCCTCATGGTCTCTGTGTTGTGGTCGGGCGCCAGAGTTTGAATGTGCGTGTGTGTTGTCTGCGTATCTTTACATTGGTGTAAATATGTGTTTTGTCTGATTTATTCCTTCTGTATAATGTGTTGCACTGTAGGGGAAATCTCACAGGGACAGGAGGTCACAGGTACAGGAGGTCACAGGGACAGGAGCTGAGCATTAGCATTAGCGACACCGATTTTTGAGTGTCGGTGTGTGGTGTGTATGCTCCATGCTTATAAGACGGGCTCAAACTCCCGGGTTTCCTTCCTCCATGCCCGTTGGACGTTAAACTGGTTTGTCGGTTCCCTTCTTCTCCTTGTCAAGGTGGGCTTTGTAAAGGTGGGTTACTGCTCGCTCTGCAGAGTCGGAGGCTTCAGGAGGTGTGGTGAGATACTCTGGGGCCTCAGACATGTTTTATAAATAAGGTGCAGATCTGAACAGACTGGACCCAGAAACTCTGCACACGGACGGGATTCACAGGAGAGGAAATAGAACCTTAAGATATACAATATTATATTTGTGTGAAGTGTGCACATTGATCTTTTGTATCTGCGGCCAAACAAAAAGAGACATACTTCAAGGATTTATTTTATTTTATTAACTATTATATGTTTTAGACTTAAATTCTTGTTTGGATTGAATCTAAACGAGGCCAAGTCTGTGGACAGATGAGTGCTTTTGATGAATGCATTATTATCAAGTATAAAATTGAAGCTTTCACTAAGTTACAAACCTTCACTGGAGTCATTTAAACAGAGACTGTGTAAAGTGTGTAAATGGGAAAAGGTCAGAGGTCACAGAGAAAGATAGGTCTGTGCAGACTGTTTGAACACAGGACATTACATAAACTGCTTCTTCAGGGAGCTTTAGGGCAAGGACTGGGAAGGCTGGGACTGTTGGGACAGATGGGACAGATGGGACAGATGGGACTGCTGGGACTGCTGGGATTGCTGGACCTTGGAGTGATGGGACTATTGACAATTGTAAAATGTGTGTTTTGGTGTCTGTAAAGTGTGTGCTTTGGCGTCTGTAAAATGTGTGCTTTGGCGTCTGTAAAATGTGTTTTTTGGTGTCTGTAAAGTGTGTGCTTTGGCGTCTGTAAAACATGTGTAAAGCGTGTGTGCTCACCAGGGTGATGTCTCGGGAGGCGGCGGCGGCGCTCATGTGGAGACTGGGCTGTCGGACAGAGCTGCTGCAGTCCAGAGCTCGAGCAAACGTACCCACAGACCTGAGACACCGACACACAGAGGACACGTGTTTAAGATGTAGAAGAACATGTAATGCAGTCTTGTAGTCAGGAGTCAAAGTGGTCTGTCTGGTATCAGGTCGGATCTTACCGTGCCACAACTAAAAACTGGTCGATCTGTTTCTCTGTGAGGAGGCTGTTGGGATCCCAAACCTTGTCCTCCATTTTGGAAAGATCTCGTTCGTCTTTTTCATCTGTGATGGAACACATGGTTAGAGGTTTATCTAACCAGTGAAATGTTACTGGTCCTAGTGGAAGGGACTGGCACGATTTGATAGTATTTTGATATTTGGGGCACAATTCAATACTATTGTGATTGTTAACATATTGTGATACAGATAGTATTGTGATTCGAGTCTGAGCTATATTGCGATTCATGTCCATCACATTATTCAAAGACATTACAAACATGGAGGAAAATAAGACTCTTGTCCTCTATGACCTTTATTATGGTCTGCACATGAACTGAAGCTAACACTTTGGAGGGTAGTGCAAAAACGTTATACTTGAACGTTCAGGAAACAGGACCTTTTTACGAGATCATTATTCTCTGAATAGATGACTCTCACATGAACGATACTCTCCATCACATCATGTAGAATGATAAGCTACATCACATCACTACTGGGAGACCCTTTACCTAAACTAAACGCTGCGACAGTAAAACGTTAGAGTTGGTCATTGGATTAATAAGATAAGAGATTGTTTATTCATCCCAGTGGCTGACATGTATCTTAGCTAGCTGTAAATGTTTCAACAACAATCTTTCAAAACATAATAATTATATAATTATATATATATAGATATAATGTGCAAAGTTATATACATATAGGACAGGGTAGTAAGTAGATAAAGTGACATTCAGTGGACATTCTAAAGTTGCAGTATTGCACATTTTGTTTACATGAAGAGCGTGGCTGGGGTTTCACAGCAGTGTGATGACGGCGGCTCAACTAATGCTCCTTCGTCCGTCCAGCAAAGCTCTAGTTTCAGTTTCCATTTTCGCTGCTGCTGTTAAAGGCAGAATGATGTTGGCACATCCTCCTCAGGCTTCGCGGTGGCCTGAGGAGGATGTTGTTGAGGAAGTGATTACACTGGTGGGGGTCACAAGTGTCGTGTTGTAAAGTTCCACTGCCCCTTCTGGCCGGGCACTAGAACTACATCATTTTCCGTCGTCATGTAGACGCTGTGCACTTCAATCAGAATCAGAATCAGAATCAGAATCAGAATCATTTTTATTGCCACGTAAGTAACAGGAGGTCACAGACTTGGAAATTGCTTTGGCTCAGTGCAACAGTCAAAAAGAGATAATAAAAATAAGAATAAAAAACACTTCTAAAGAATAAATTTAAATTTAAAATAGAGTTACAGTTACTATTTACAATATACAAGTGCACATGGTGCACATAATGTAAGGTGACAGCAGTACAGTGAAGTAAAGTGACGTATGATGGGCAGTAAAGTGACTTTATAAAGGGCGGGGGGACAGGTTAAGAAGTGTTCAATAGTCCAACAGCAGAGGGGAAGAAACTGTTCTTGTGGCGGGAGGTTCTAGTCCTGATGGACCGCAGCCTCCTGCCTGAGGGGAGTGGTTGGAATAGTCCATGTGCAGGGTGAGAGGGGTCGGCTGTGATACGACCAGCCCGGCCTCGAGATCGGGCGACGTACAGGTCCTGCAGCGATGGACCTGTAGGAGCCTGGTCATTTTTGCCAGTTGCTTTGCTGCGTCTTCGCAGCATCTCCGTCTAAACTCATTTTCAGTTAAACCACATTGAAATACATGTGCAAACTCAGGATCACAGGTACAAAACGTACATAATGGAAAATCTCTTTGGACTCTGCTTTCACTTCACCGTAGGTAATCTCCCTCCCTCTCTCTCTCTCCCCCTCCCTCCCTCTCTACCCCTTCCTTCCTCTCTCCCCCCTCTCTCCGATCCAGACTTTTGCAGGTTTGAGAGATGTTAAAGGTGCAAAGACAGATCGCAGCAGCGGGAGATGGCGGCGCACTCGTGTTTACAAACATGGTGTGTTTGTGTAAATCCTTAATAAGTCCCAGAGCTGATCAGCGCCCAGTCTGCTGCCAAAACCTCTCTCTCTCCCTCTCCTTGCTCACTAACTCTCTGCCCCTCTCTCCTCCGCACCTTCTTCCCTCCTCACCCCCCCCCCACCTCCTCACCCCTCATAAACTCTCTTCCCCCCTTCCTCACCCCTCTCCCCCTCTGACACATGTAGCAGAATGTCATTAACATGGCTTTAATTAGAAGGCTCAGTGTCGCGTGGAGCCTGATTGCAGTTTCGTGGATTACCCACCTGCGAAGAGTAAAGATTTTTTGGCAGAGAGAATGTGTGTTCGGCTAAATTTGGATTTTTGGAAATGTTTTGGTAAAACAAGGATTTAGTGGAAATTACTGCAAGTCAGTGGGTGATATTTAATTGGGGCCAGGTCTCGGTTCCTACCAAAGACCAAGACCAAAGCATCAACCGGAAGAAAGCCACTGCAATTCTATTACCGAGCTAATCACGGCACAGGAGTAAACCAAACTAGGTCAAACCCATCCTGATCTAGGGGCATGGTCACACAAAATTATCTCACATTAACCCCATCACCAAGAATTATAAAGTCAGAGATTATATCATTATTTTTTTATGCTAAAGTTAGAGATTGTATACTTGCAGAGACTGTACAGACGGGCAGAACATCTCAACTACTTTAACTTGTATGAAGCAAATTACAAACGAGAAATTATTAAAAAAACTAAAACCAAAACCAGGCTGATCTATGGTTAAACCAAACCAGAAAAAAGAGAGAACTAACAAATTTCAGGACATGGGAGAAACCAGGTCAGAACACAAATGATCACTAGACTATTACTCAGCGATTTCTAAACCAAGGATCACATGATTGATAATGGGTTAATCCAGCACTAAAGTAGGACAAACATTTTATACGATATAACAAGACAAAAAAAGTCCCCAGGAGTTCATTGTCGTCGTCTTTTCAGAACCAGTGGACTGAAGAGATTATTATTCATTATTATTATTCGACAGAGTTTGCACATTTCCATATCGTCTTTAACATCTGTGCAGAGACCATTGTTTTTGCGTTTGCATAATGTATGACGGCTTCACAGTTGCCTAGAAACTACTGTATATATGATCTTTACAGAAAGAGGGGAAAAAATTAAAAACTGTTATAAAAAAAAAAAATAACGGCCTTGGCTTTGGTTGCTGTGAAAGTGATCCGAGTCCAAAAGGTGGAAAACGTACAAAGCATCGGAAATTACTTTTAAGTTTCAGAAATGTAAAAATCTGAGGCGCCGACAGGAAGCAGCAAAATAAGTATTGAATAAAGAAGACAGGCATCTTTATATTAGGTTTTAATATTATTCTTGCTGCGGGTTTCTATTTCCGTATTTCAGGCGTCGTGACATCTCTGAGACATTTTGAATGGATTTCTGTGTAAAAATCTGGCCTTTTAAAAAACAAACAAAAAACCCTGGTGATGACACATTGAATAATGTAAGTGAAGTGTTGGGAGCTCACCGTTCATGAGAGAGAATAATGATCCCGTCTGTAAAAAGGTCCTGTTTCCTGAATGTTCAAGTTTTTGCACTTCCCTAGTGTTTGCGTCAGTTCATGTGCAGACCATAAATGTCAGAGAAGTGTCACATTTTCCTCCATCTTTGCAATGTCTTACGAGGGACATGAATCGCAATATATCACAGAATTGAATCACAATAGGGTCTGTATCACAAAATGTTAAGAATCGCAATAATATTGAATTGTGGCCCAAATATATAGCACAACACTATTGAATCTAAATGTTTTCGCCAATTCCCAGCTCTACTAAGCACAGTGATGTTTAAAGACATGTATAGACAGTGGTCCCACTCCCTAAGGACCAATGGCTCCTTCTTATTGGTGCATTTCCTGTGTTCGAGCTGTTTGATTCTCTGATCTGTTGTTGGCGAATCAACAACTATACAGTCCTCCGAAACGACTGCCGTGATTTACATCTATACGTTTTTGTCTTTGATTCATGGCCATAATGAATATTTAAAAATGTAATAGAAAAACACACAAAGTAACAAGCCACAAGTGATTGATTTAAGAGTGTTCTTGATTGTTTCCCAGATTGAACGAAACATTTTTGGTTTTGGTTGAAGTTTACAGAAGGCCAAAAGTTTCCACATTAAGGTGAATAGTTTGCAGACTTCACCACAAACTCGTTTAAAGTGAGGCCCGAGGACAAGACTGTTCTGTCTCTAATTGAAGCACCGCAGATCTGTGGCTTCTCTTTAAATACCGTTATTTCAAAACAAATACATGTGACTTAAACATCTGTCAGGGGTCTCAAACATGCGGCCCACGAGCCATTTACGGCCCGCAGAAAGGAATTTATACACACTTTCCACAAACGTTTGATTATTGGTTTTCCCGCATGTGTTTTGATACAAACCTTTACGTTCTGTTTAGGAATGAGAAGATGCACAGTTTAAATGTAGTAGTTTAGTATATTTTTCCAGGAGCTAAACTGCATGTGCAAAGTAGAATAGCATGTGCAGTTTTAGTGTTTGATTCTATCTCTGCGTGAGCAAAGACCTGTTTGCTTTAGGGATGCACCAATGCATCAGCTGAACATCGGTATCGGCCTATGTTTGTGTTGTTGACTACCATCGGCAATAAATAATAAAATTGCCGATGGTAGATGCGTGCGAAGAGATACTGGGACATTTCTTTTAAAAGTCTCAAATTTTAGCATTTTTTTATAAAGTGCACTAAGAAATGTTGACTTCTGATGAATTCTAATTCACTGTGGCAATAGCAGCGCACACACCTGTCTGCTTCTTCGCTCACAGCCTCACACACACACACACTTCTGCTCCTCCACAAACACACACACACACTTCTCTCCTCCACACACACACACAACGCGCTCTCGTCTCTCAGTGCGAGCAGGTGCTCTCCATACAGTGCAATGCGTCTCTTTCCTCGTCTCTGACTCACTCACATTAAGACACCGCTAGAGTTATTTGACAGCTCGGTAAAGTCTCTAAAGGACCCCGCTGTGCATATAGCCGCCCTTGCGCCCGCCTGTTTACAAATTGCTTTCATTGAAAACTTTACATACACTTGTAATAATGTACTTCATATATTCTGCACACACACAAGCGCGTGATAAACATAACCCCTTAATGGGACTTTACCCAGACTCCACCTCATGCGTTCCCCAAATACACCGAGTTTGAGACCCCTGATATTGTGCTAAATGCTAAAGGCTAAATGCTAATGTCGGTACCTTCCAGAGCCTCCGCCACGTCGGCCTGGTACTTGTTCCCCACTCGGATCTCTCCTTTATCGGCCAACAGCGTCTTCTGCTGCGGGTCGTACACCAGCGAGTAGAAGAAGGCGTCCTGGGAAACAGGACGAAGAATCTTAAAGCTTGGATACTTATGTTTTAGGCATAACAGGTGGTTAAGTCCGGTTCAGTTTCATATCTGATCTATTAAAAAGTTACTTTTAATAAATTTTATAAAATAGTTGCTGCAATGAAAACATGAGCCTCCAGAAGCAGAGGGAGCTCGTCGCTCGCCTTCTCGCAGAATATTCTGGGCCAACATCCTCAATTATTCATTTAGAATCACAAATCTGAAACTCAAAAAAGTAATGACCCATAGACTTAAAATAAGAGGCTGGTTCAGTGGAGATCAAACTCAAGATTCTCCAATGGGGCAAAGCCTTTTAGTCTTATTTCAAGAACTGTTTTATTTTCTCATTCCAAAGGAGACATTTCTTGTAGTGAGTTTTTTTTTTTTTTTTCATAAAATTTAGTTTTAAGTCAGTCAGAATGTGTCCAGATAAAGATGCCAAATTTGAGCAGTTTTCATCATTTTTTGCAGTGAATGCAATGTTTTTAGCCAATGGAGTTCTCATTGGAATACAGCAGACAAACAGTTCATACAAAGCTGGAAATAGACCAGCGCCGCTTCAGATTGGCTCGTTGGTTGCTAGGTTGTTGCTATCCATATTCAAGTCTCTCTAGCCTGTTTTTAGCCCCCAAACCTCATGTATTTAAACATCTCCAAACACAGTGCTTCTACAGAAAAAATGAATAAAGACGTATGTAATATGCAATAGCTGAATCTATAACATTCTGGTTACCCTTAACATTATCCTGGTGCGTTCTAGTCACCTCTGCTCCAAAGAGTAAAACGCTCCACTGCTCACCTCTCGCTCCAAATACGACTTCAAGGCTTCAGTCTCATTGAGCAGCGTGACGCAGCACTTGCCTCTGCAACAGAACAGGAACAAAAACATTTCAGTTCAATAGAAAATTGGAGCTTTCCCAGACCCTGCAGGATTTCGCGGGCAATTAATGTGATAGTTGCGGGCTAAAATACTTGATTTCACTGGACATTTTTCTAAAAGCAATGGCAAGTTGCATTTTTTTCCTTTGTAAGACATACTTTTTGAACAATAAAGTAATTTTTTTGATAAAATATAAATGCAAAAAAGAGGAAAAAGGATCATTTACCATTTTAATTCTTTATTGACAAAGATACAATTTTGTCTGGACTCTGTTTGACGGGTCACCTCACGTACGCAGAAAGAGTTGGAGGCGCGCAAACCCACTGTGCACGAGGTACACCCCGAGCTGCGGGCGAGCCATGAATTATGTTCTGGTTTATGGAGGGGACAGGGCAAGGTGCAACGTGGCGGACCGGTCAGTACCAAGTGGTTCATTTACAGCACCATGCTCTAGAACATTCTGCGCGGGAGTGCGCCTCTCACAGGGGAGTGACAGGAGCACGCCTGCAACTGGTGCTTAGTGACAGCTAGAGAGCAATGTCTTGGTCACAATGCCACATACTTATTTGTTTCTGTAAAGTTGAGGAAAAGTTGCAGGGTTTAGAAAAAGTTGCAGGTTGCACTGATTTTGCGTCAGTGAAATTCTGGAGGAACTGCTTTCTGCACAAAACCATGGCCCAAACCAACACCTCCTGTTGCTCCAGCTCACTCACAAACACAAGTATTCCGTTTTCTAGTCGCAAAATATGGTGGTTGTAGCCACACCTGCAGGTCCTGCGAAGCAGGACAGGGTCCGATTTGTACTGTGATGGGAGATCTCTGGGAACATCAGAGGCCACAGTGTCTGTCAGTGTGCCACAGGGCAGCTGTGACTACAATAGTAGTTTAATAGAGAGTCCTTGTTACGAAGCAACGCCAGAAATAATTACAATAATGAATGTCAGTGCCTGATGCATGTGACCTGGTACCGGATGAATGTGATGTGGTACCTGATGTGTGAGACCTCGTACTTGATGGGAATACGCTGTACCGGATGTTTGTGACCCGGTACCTGATGTGTGTTGCTGGCAGAGACTCCAGTTGTCGTGACAGGAATAGTTCTCGGTGTCGCAGCTGATGTTTCTGTTTCTCTGGAAGCTCCAACATTTCTGTGTTTTCCATCTCCTCTTCCATCTCTCCTGAAACACACACAGAATTATACGTTACACACAACACACACACATTACACTTGAGACACACACAGTATACATTACACAAGACACACACACACACAAAGTATGCATTACACACAATATACACACGCGGTATACATTACACACAATACACCTGAGACAAACACACACAGTATACATTACACACAATACACCTGAGACAAACACACACATATATACTACACACAATACACCTGAGACACACACACACAGTATATGTATACAGTGCCTTGCGAAAGTATTCGGCCCCCTTCAACCTTTCAACATTTCGCCACATTTCAGGTTTCAAACAAAGATATAAAATGTAATTTTTTTGTCATGAATCAACAACAAATGGGACACAATCGTGAAGTGGAACGAAATTTATTGAAGCTGTAGTTATCAGCTGTAGTTATCTGCAGTTCATCCAGAGTGATCATGGGCCTCTTGGCTGCATCTCTGATCAGTCTTCTCCTTGTTTGAGATGAAAGTTAGGAGGGACGGCCGGGTCTTGGTAGATTTGCAGTGGTCTGATACTCCTTCCATTTCAATATAATTGCTTGCACAGTGCTCCTTGAGATGTTTAAAGCTTGGGAAATCTTTTTGTATCCAAATCCGGCTTTAAACTTCTCCACAACAGTATCTCGGACCTGCCTGGTGTGTTCCTTTGTCTTCATGGTTCTCTCTGCGCTTTAAACAGAACCCTGAGACTATCAAAGAGCAGGTGCATTTATACGGAGACTTGATTACACACAGGTGCATTCTACTTATCATCATCAGTCATTTAGGACAACATTGGATCATTCAAAGATCCTCACTGAACTTCTGGAGTGAGTTTGCTGCACTGAAAGTAAAGGGGCCAAATAATATTGCACGCCCCACTTTTCAGTTTTTTATTTGTTAAAAAAGTTTAAATTATCCAATAAATTTCTTTCCACTTCACGATTGTGTCCCACTTGTTGTTGATTCATGACAAAAAAATATTTTTTTATATCTTTATGTTTGAAGCCTGAAATGTGGCGAAAGGTTGAAGGGGGCCGAATACTTTCGCAAGGCACTGTACATACAGTACATTACACACACAACATACATAAGAGGTATACATTACACACAATACACCGGAGACACACACCAGGAAGTATAGATGAACTACACACTAAAAATGCGGATAACACGCAACCATGGATCTATAATAACATATACAGTAGATAGAATATTACTAGCTTTTAGCTGTCCCACCCATGACCAGACCAGGATCAGTCCAGGATCAGACCAGGATCAGACCAGGATCAGACCAGTACCAGACCAGAACAAGATCAGAACCAGTCCAAAATGCATATTTTTGGTTTCTGAGCATTATTTTTGCAAACTTCTTCTCATCAACACAGCAGAAGTCTCCAACCATCTCCCCAAAGAGGAGCTTTATCTGAGGTTTTATTGTGAACTGTATCAGAAACCCAGAAAACCTTACAAAAATACTATTATTCTATAAACTGATCATTTCTGAATCCTGTGGAGTCTGTGGAAGCGGTGATGAGCGACTGGGTAAAAGGTTGGAGACCTCTGATCTAGAGCGACGAGTCTCCCATTGAACACCAGCATTTGAGAGAACACAACATTTTTGCTGGGACCATTTTGTAGCAACAATTGTCTAGAAATCCAGTTAAATTTAATGTATTCTATTTTTTATTGAAACAGGAAATTTTATAACAACAAAAACATGACCAGGTCCAGGGCAGATGACCATGGTGTTAATAAATGTCCATAAATGTCCTGGATCACCACTGTACTTACATCAGAACTGTACATCAGCAAGGAAAAGCCAGTGGTGGATCATGAGAAGACATAGACCATTCTAAGTGCATCACACCAAATACTAAACATAAAGCTGCAGAACAACACATTTGTAAAGTCGTCTGCAGCGGTCTCCACCAGGAGCATTAGACGAAGTACTGAAGCCTCTGGAGATCTTCTGTAGTGAATGTATTTATTCTAAAGAACCATCGGTGGTCGGTTCTGTATCTCTACATTATTCAGCACAGCCGCCTAAAGCAGAATCTGAGCAGAAACTTAGACCAATGGGAATGTACAGATGAAGTGAAGGCCATGAATGTGCTGCCTGTAGAAAATATAAAATACAATCTGTTGTGGCAGATGTGTTTCTTGTCTTTTCAAAAGCAGTGAGTAGATTTGCACAGATTTTCACATAAATGCAGAAATATGGACACAAAAGATTATATTGAAACCTGGGAGTAATTATCCTTTATTCATCCTACAGATCACAAACAGGAGGAGATGAGTAGTCCTGAAGATGAAGAGGAGAGGACTGGTCCTGAGGGTGAAGAGGGGACTGGTTCCGAGGAGTAGGACTGGTCCTGAGGATGAGGAGAGGACTGGTTCTGAAGATGAGGCCGCTGGTCTCAGCCTCACTGGCCGAAGCCTTTGGGGACAGAAGGCTCCTGATTGGTCAGTTGTTGGGGTAGATGTGCAGAGAGTTTTTTAAACTCAAAATGGTGAGTCTGACAAGCTTATGTTCAAATCGGCTTCTTCCACTTGCTTAAATATAATGTACATAAATAAAGCATAGTATCGATTACAGAGAATATTTTTAAGTAACAGAATGTGAGTGGAGTCCATGCCCACTGCTTTGGTCTCTTCACAAGAGTTTGTTACATAAATAAACACAGTTTTGTAAAAGTAAAAACTTTGTGGACAAATCAGACGACGAGATTTTATCTTCTAATTATTAGAAACCATGTTACCATTTGAAGACAAATAACATTTGTTTAGTTATCGACTAAATAAATAAATTCTTTAAAAATCAGACTGGGATTATCTGGATTTGTTTCTCATGTTGCCTCTCATAGTTGAGGTCTACTTTGATTAAAATCACAAATGTCGTCAAGAAAGAGGACTTGTACCATAAATACTAAATACTTGTTTTCCCCCAACTGAAGAAGACTAATCACACTGACGTCTTGAAGGATGAACGTTCAGACGCCACAGAAACACGTCGCCTCCAAATGTCTCGCCGCCGATCGAATTTTTACTGAGGACAAATTAACACAGTCACCAAAAGATCTCATCTTTCAACACCTGATTAAGAACCCGTTCTTACAGACACAAGTGAGACATCACTGACGAAAGAAGAAGGGGGAGAGAAAGAGGGGGAGGGGAGAAATAGGGGAGAGAAAGCACCGACACGCTTCAATTTATTTGGACTTTTGATTAGAAGAAGACCGACAGTAGCAGTGGAACAAAAGCAATCAGGATTTTAGCAGAAAGAGAGAAAGACGCGTGTGTCTCTGTGTGGGCCTGTGTACATGTGTGCGTGTGTGTGTGTGCGTGTGTCTGTCTGTGTGTGTGTGCCTATGTGTGTGCGTGTGTCTGTGTGTGTGTGGGCCTGTGAGTGGGCCTGTGTGTGTGCCTGTGTGTGTGCCTGTGTGTTAGATCAATGGGAGTGTGCCTCAGTGCAGCCAATGACAATGTGGAGAGGATGCAGACGTTTGGAGAAAGCTCACCATTATATTTAGGTTTCAGGAGCGAACAGTGAGGTCGAACTTTGAACTGAGAGGATAAACCATACAGATGGGGCAGAAGGAAAGGTTACAGAAAAATTAGATCTTCAAAGATACAATTACAGTCATTTATGCTCAATATTGTGGCACATAGTGTGATTGTTTACACATTTGTCTTGGCCAAAAAGAACAGTTATTTGCTGGTGATCTGCACATTGAGAGAAGCCATAGTCACAAAAAGCAACAACAAAAACCATTGTTAAAATAAATGTGCTTCCGTACTGAGGTAAGTGGGCCATAAAATTCAATTCAATTCAATGTATTCTTGTATCGCCCAAACCGTTGAATTTTCCAACACAGATCAGAGAATGAAACAGTTTTAACACCTGCGTCTTAACACAAGTTATGTCACTTTATCAATTTATTAGTGAGGAAACAGAAAAGTAGAAGTGACAAGACTAATAGGTCTGTACTGATGAAAACATTGGGTTCTGTTCTTGCTCCAGTCTCTGTTCTCCTCTGGTGTCTCGCTCCAGTCTCTGTTCTCCTCTGGTGTCTCGCTCCAGTCTCTGTTCTCCTCTGGTGTCTCGCTCCAGTCTCTGGTCTCCTCTGGTGTCTCGCTCCAGTCTCTGTTCTCCTCTGGTGTCTCGCTCCAGTCTCTGTTCTCCTCTGGTGTCTCGCTCCAGTCTCTGTTCTCCTCTGGTGTCTCGCTCCAGTCTCTGGTCTCCTCTGGTGTCTCGCTCCAGTCTCTGTTCTCCTCTGGTGTCTCGCTCCAGTCTCTGTTCTCCTCTGGTGTCTCGCTCCAGTCTCTGGTCTCGTCTCGTGTCTCGCTCCAGTCTCTGTTCTCGTCTCTTGTCCCACTCCAATCTCTCACTTCTTGTCTGGCGTCTCGCTCAAGTCTCTCAGAGCCAATCTGAGGCAGTGCACCACTCTGAACAACTCCGGACTCTGCACAAATTGCCTCTCCATCTCACCTGTCCCAGCCAATTATCAATTATTGATGAATGGGTCGCCTTACGAAGGAACAGTGTGTGTGGGGTGGGGTGGGGTGGGGTGGGGTGGGGGGGTTTGATGGGGGGCAGCAGAGGAGAGCAAAGTCATTACCGTAACAAACTCCAGACTCCAACAATCTTGAACGGAGAGCGAGATCTTGTAGAAAGTCCATAAAAACCCTCAAATCGGTTTAAGACCAAGATCCACATGGTTCTAACTGTTCTGTTTAAACTTGGTTGTAGAAGATCCCACATAGTCAGTCACCTTTTTACACTTAATGACATGCTTCTGTCTTCTATAGGGGTAAATATTGATAATTATTGTAGATTTAGTGACAGTAAATAGTCCTCTTTATTTCTATAGCGCAGTTTACAGACTTTTGTCAAACACAGCTCTTTATAATTTGGCTAAGGAAGGTTCATTTATTTATTTATATTATCTGTTTGGAGGATAAGCCGCATAGATTAAACATCTTGT